CGTTAATGAGAAAGGCAAAAGTGATTTAAAACAGAAAACGTAAAGTTGCCAACGAAAAAAAGGAAAATTAAGGTGAAAAAGAAAACTAGGAAAACCCTGTTAGGTAAAAGAAAAAAAAATTTAACAAACTAAACTGTAACTATAAATGCGATTAATCATTTATCCTACATTGTTGGAATCTAGGGTGAAAAATCAGTTTGAAATAATGCCACGATTCTCTCCACCCTTGTCACATCAACTCATCTCGATGTCCTGGAATCCTGTTTCATTCCCATGAATACCAATTATCATGTTTACAATATGAATTCCTCCTCACCTCTCCATAGCGTGTGGAAATGCATTTTGTATTGATTTGCTTCTCTCGGCCATCGCGGTTTTCCTTGTTTTGTTTTTCACCTTTATTTTCCTTCTTATCTTTGGAAATTTTCTGTTTTAAACCAGTTTTATTTTATTCATTCACGCCTGGCGAGTATTGAGATTGCGCTTCAATTTCTTAATGCAAGCAACTTTTATTACCATCTTTAGATTTTTGAAACGAATGAAGTTTTTAAATCTCTCGATATTAAGAAATCGTAAGTTTCGCTGACGCTATTTTGGGTGATCAATTTAACGTTACTTTCAAGCGTAAAAACTATATGACATAAAAAATTATAACTACTATGGTGTGCAGAAAAGTGTAAAATGATTCTAAAGGAATAAAAAAACTAACATTCAATAATTAGTTGAAAAATTATTAACCATTTAACTTGGAGGAAAAAAATAACAGGTGGGCCACTCTACAGTCCACAGGAATGCAACTAAAGAGTTGAAGTTTGGCTTGCTAAAAGGGAGATATTTGCTTATAAACTTAACACTTATTCTTTTTTTTTTTTTCGAAATTCGAAAAGTTATTACAGTTTTAAATGCTTTTTGGCGAATTCGTCCTCACTTTTATTTGTTTTATGTTACATACAAGGTGTTAAAAGAATATATAGAATAAAAGGTGTATATAGAATAAAAAAATATTAAATATAGAATAAAAAATTAAAAAAAAAATAGTGCGTGGAGTCCTTCCGCACGTAAGAAGTTAAACTTCGTAATGTGGAAATGAAAATAGGAAGGGGTAGAAATTTATTTTTAGTTAAATCATATTGTTTCTTTAAGACAAACTTTATTAACAATGCTTACAAATCACAATTGATCGCATCTTTTAATTATCATTTTTGAGTGGAGAAATATCCAAATCTATAACATTTACAAAGGGATTATGATAACTAAAGTAAGATACGAAATGCTTGAGTTCTATTTTTTCAATATTTCTTGCAAAAACTGCATCAATGGTAGTTACCCCTTTGATTGTTGGATCATTTCTACCATTTATCATTTCCAATCCAAATTTGTCTTTAAGGAAGGTTAATAATGTTTCAACTTCAGGTAATTAAAAATTCACATTAAAATCTCCTGCAAGGATCACAGGCCACTCACAATAATCAATTTCTTCACCAGTAACATCTGCCAGAGCTTGTGAACCTGCAGTAGATAGCGGCAATAAAGATTTTGCAATAAATAATTTAATATCTGCATTTATTAATATCTCATGGCTGCATTTGGTGAAATATAAATGGCAATTATAAAAGAGCATACCTAACAATCAATTGATATTCACAAGAGACGTACCTTGACATAACCTTAAATCCGTCGCATTGTCCGTGGGATTGAAAATAAAAAATACTACCCTATTAAATTATATGTGTATCTAATCAAACTAAAATATTTATAGAAAAACAATACTTTTATGACTTTTATTATTTTTATGCTAGTGAGAACCAAAACAATATGAAAATTAATGAGGGAAAACTGGATCCTANTTAGATAATTGAATGAAGTTTTTAAATCTCTCGATATTAAGAAGGCGTAAGTGTCGCTGACGCTATTTTGGGTGATAAATTTAACGTTACTTTCAAGCGTAAAAACAAAAACTATATGACATAAAAAAAATATAACTACTATGGTGTGTAGAAAAGTGTAAAATGATTCTGATGGAATAAAAAAATTAACATTCGATAATTAGTTGAAAAATTATTAACCATTTAACTAGTTGGAAAAAATAACATGTGGGCCACTCTACAGTTCACAGGAATGCTACTAAAGAGTTGAAGTTTGGCTTGCTAAAAGGGCGATATTTGTTTATGAACTTAACACTTAGTCTTTTTCTTTTTTAAAAAAATTCGATTTGTTTGAAAGTTATTACAGTTTAAATGCTTTTCGACGAATTCGTTCTCACTTTTATTTGCTTTATGTTAAAACAAGGTGTTAAAAAAAATAGTAAATATAGAATAAAAAATTTTAAAAAAAGAAACGATTCAACTGTCAGTTTGAAAATTATTAATTGTTCAACTCGTAGTAAGAAAAAAGGTTGGTCGATCTACTTACTATACGCTGAAATGCAATTACAGTGACTTGATGTCAAAAGCAACAACAAAAAAAAAACAAAAACAATACAAATAAAAAGTAAGAGAAAGATCAGATGTTCCCAGATATAAATCTTAACATTGATATCAAAATTTCGAAAAATATAAAGACTTAAGAGCGAGATCTAATAAGAACAACATCAATATGATATAAGGTTACTGTTATAAATTGGAAACAAGTAAATTGCTTCTCGTATATTACTGCTTATTATGACGCACAGTCTGTATTCCTAAATTTAATTTTTTTTTTCCAAGTACAATTCAAATGTTTTTCAAATCCAGCTATCCTTTCATTTCATTACAATTGACGTATTAATAAAATGCGCTTACATAAAATATAAATCTTCTAAACAAATTTATCTCTTATCATACAATCTTAAGAAGGTGAAGGGGAAGAACGGTTAATATCCCTGAAAGCCGATTCTGAGAAAAAACGGCTCACATGGCTTTTCGTCAGCACTACTCATATTCACTTTGCAATAACTCTCGGGGGGGTACCAACTTTGCACGTTATTGATTTACCAAAACGTAGTAATCCTTAAGATGCCACAGTAGGCAATTCAAATGTAATTTTGAATAAAAAGGAAATAAACCGTTCTTCCTCTTTGATTTTCAATGAAGTATACAAAGTAAACATAATAGATTGTGAGTGAGCATCTTCCTCATCAGTGTAAGTAAATCTTATATTTTTGTTTGAAGAAATAAAAAGCTTTATTTTTCAAAGCAATTGTAGAGAAAAAGCACGAACTATAAAAATAATAACATCAGAAAAAAAAAACATACAAAAAAGTGCTCATGATGTTGTAAACACAGGGTTGCCACAGAAAAAAAATTAACAAAATAGTTGCTTTTCGTACCTAAAGCATGAAAATAGTTGCCTAAATAAGAACAAAAATAAGACTAAAATTTTATTAAATGACTTAATTGTCATATACCATGATCCATTTAGTCAAGTTGGTGGCAAATATGATAATTTTTATATAAACGTTAATGTTCTAGTACTAAGTTTTTATATAAAAAAATTAGTATATTTGCAGAAAATTAAATACTTTTAATTACNTATACCATGATCCATTTAGTCAAGTTGGTGGCAAATATGATAATTTTTATATAAACGTTAATGTTCTAGTACTAGTCTAGTAATATTTGCAGAAAATTAAATACTTTTAATTACTAGAATTCGTTGAAAAAATACTTTTTCATTAAAAAAAACACACTTATTCGAAGAAATTTTCCCCTTTATCAATAATTAATTTAGCAAATATATATATATATTGTGAAAAGTAATTACTCAAATTCAAAATTCATGCATCCTAATATCGTATAAAAAATTGTGTTTTTTTTAAAATCACGCAGAATTTCGTTGCAAAAACTGTTGAAATGGCGATCGAGAAACGACATAGACTTACGATAGAATCTGTGCAAATTGAACGTATTAAAATGTGATGACTCGAATATGCAATCTAAAATTTCTCACTTTTTAATGTTTCAATTATTTAATTTCTTTACATTTTATTAGTTTTATTTCACATTTTTTAAGAAAAGAAATTCAGGACTGCACGTTTTCAACTCAATTTATGCTAAAAAAACATTGCTACGAGTACAGAAAAGTCTCCTTTTCCTGAAAATAGTTGCTCTTTTAGTCTTTTCAGGCAAAAAAAGTTGCCATAGTCGCCTCATGCTGAAAATAGTTGCATTTAAGTCGCCGGTAGCAACCCTGTAAACAGCAACAAAGTATACAAACAAACAGTACCAAGGTATACAAATTTGTACATCCCTTTAAGGAAAATAATTTTACAAGATAAAAGACAAAATTGGAAAAAAATCGGTGTATTAGTTCCTGAGAAATCAAGTTTTAAAAAAGTTAGATATTTAAAATTGGATTTCTTAGGAATTATTGGACCGATTTCATCCAAATTTTGTATTTCGCCATATAAAATTGCATTTCGCGAAATGATTTAAAAATTCATATACATAGTAATTCAAAATTTTTTGAATATTATTAAATAAAATATTAAATTTTTTTTACATGGATTTTACATACATTGATTTACTTATAAAAATTATTTTTTACATGCCTTTGGATAAACAATTAATAATTTTGAGTAAAATTTCTGGAATAGCTCAAAAAGTTCCTGAGACTTGGTACAATATGCAAAAAGTAAAATTGATAATAAGGGGTCTGAATTTTCGAATGCTCTTCTGACCAAGTTATTAGGACACTATTTCTCTGATCGTGTTTCCCTTACATCTTGGGGATCAGAAATTGAAATTTGTACTCAAATACTATACTGCTGATATCCATTGGATGATGCTGATGTAATGGAAACTGCTGATGCAATGGAAAAATCAAAACAGGTGACAAAAAAATTTATAAATTGTCATTTTTATATATTCAGCATTTTTATATGATATGCTATTTATTGCAAATATTTTTTTCAAAATTATATTGTTTATCAGTGTTTTGAAATTCGATTGTGTTTATAGCATTAGCAATAGAAAAAAAAAATTTCAAGCCTCTTTTCCTAAAATCTACAGTGAAAACTACCCTTTTCAATTGTATGGTGGTATATATTTTGCATACAGAGAAAAATACTAAAAATTTTTTAAAAAAGTAAAAACATTTAGCCAGAAAGAAATCATGAGAAAAATATGACTTTTTATTAACAAAAACGTATAAGAGATTTATCAAAAATATATGGCGTCAATAAAAATAGTTACCTATTTTAGTAAATTAGGTAGAAATTTGTAACAATGATAAATAAATGCTGAAATAAAAACAAAACAAAACTAGAAGTTGATAAGATTCTTTATAGCATCAAAACATCTCCACTTGGTAGGCATATAGAAGGGTTCAAAGACATGCGTAAATGGTGCATCTAAGCCAGTTACTCTTTGGATAGGAGCTTCTAAAGTCAGGAAACATTCATTCTAGAAAAGAATAATGAATAGATTTAAATCATTTTGTATAATTTTAAAAGCATGATAGAAATAGTAGACGAAAGAATTTAAATCAATAACTAAATCTTAATGAAATACAATTGAATCATGGTTAGTTCATTTAATTGCTTTTATTTTCAACTTGGTTGACCAGAGCATTTGACTTACTATAGACGCAGAAATTTATTTTAGCTCACCTTTTTCAGATGTTTTAGTAACAACAAACTGTGTTCACACTTTTGGTTACTGCAATTACTATGCCGTTTTTGCCTCACATTGTTTATTCAAATCCCAATAATTGTTAAAATTTTTTACATTTTATACTTTTGTGCACTTAACGTCTGCTCTGATTCTACCTCTTTAGTTTAACTCTCTGGCAGTTAACCATTTTAATCTTTTAATTTCCAGTTAACCATGGATTTAACCAGTCTATTGATGACTCTCTTCTTGTCAAACTTAATGGACCTCAAAATCTCTCTTTTTACTATAACTCTAACAGTTAAATTGTTACTCTACCATTTTTTCTCCTTCACTTTTCACATCATTGCATAGCATCCTGTCCAATTTTGCTTTTAAAGTCATTTTCTAGCCTGTTGGCAAAATTAGTTCATATGAATGCTGATTCCCAAGTAAACGACATGAGTTATTTTAGCCCTCCATACCGCTCGGAAATGAATTTTGTTCTGATTTGCCTTTTTTATACTCGGTCATTTTCTTTCAATTACTACAGGTTTTTGTCAACGTTATTTATTTTCCATTTTTTCTATATCAATTTTGGGTTTGCTTATTAAATTTGTGTAGATTTCCATATTTATGTCCGTTGAGTTTTGAGCCTCTTTGTTTTGAGTGCTTGAAACATCTCAGAATTTTCCATCTTTATAATATTTGAAGCTAATGAAGTTTTTCTATTATCAAATATAACTGGTCTTTATTATAGATTATAAAAACTAAATCAAGTTTGAATCAATTTAATTTATTAAGCAAATGCATAATTAAATAAACTATTACTTGGTTCATATTAATACTAAACTTAATAATTCTATTTCAGAGCGCAAATAACTGGAAAAACTTTGATTTAATTAGATGTTGAACAACCCAAAAAGCTGCAGAAAGAAACACTACATTTCAAGTTAAGAAAATGCGAACCACGGGAAAAACTTTCCATCATAAATTCTTGTTCACCTTCTTAAGTAATTCAAAATTTAAAGTAAAGAAAAAGTGATTTCCCGCAAACCTAGTGTAAACCATAAAGTTTCAAACACTGAATAGACATTTTCAAAATATTGAAATATACAAACAAATTTATAAGAGGATAACTCTGTATTATACAATATGGAAATTCTCTCTCAATAATTTGTTTGTGCTTTGAAATTTCTTTTTCAGCAATTGACATTTTATGGCTTACTCTGGATTTGCTTGAACTTTCTTTTTTTATACTTCAAATTTTAAATTAGATAAAAAAGAAAGAAAAAATCAAATTATTTAATTATATTTTTTAAACCTTTAAAAGCTTCAGTTTTAACCCTGCATTTTTTGTATTAACAACTTTATTTATTTGAAATTGATATATTACAATGTGAAATGGCATATTTTTTAATTAAAAATATAAAAGCATATATCAGTTTGGTTATCTCATACCAGGTACCAGAAATAATGGCTGAAAATATGAACAATGAAATAAAGAAAAACAGAAGGAAAAATAATCACAAATTTTGATGTGCTCTGTGTAGGAAGAACATGGTCTCAATAGATTTTAAAATGAGTGACAAAGTATGTACACTGGACTAGAGACACTATTAAACAATGTTTTCACAACTATTATTTACATCAAAGATGAGGTACAGAAAACATTGTTTTTTAAAGTTTTCCTGTTTGCACTGCCATCTGATGATGCAAATTTTGGAATATGATAAAAATAACTCACTTATTTTCTTTAATAGAACACAGTTATAACCTGATGCTTTTATCTTAATTAATTTTTCTTAAATTGGCTTTTTAAATGATCAGTTATTAGTAACACTTGGCTTCTACTTCTTGTTATTAAATTATTTTATTACTTATGCCATTGTTAAAAATTTATAATGTACATTAACCCTTTAACTGCTGCATCAAAACTCAGTTAAATATGATTGCGTTCCTGTTTTAACGTGAAAACTCTGCTGCGAAGGAAAACTTGCCAACTAATTTGCTCAAGAAGCATGGAAATTAAGATTGTACTAAGCTGTCATTTAACAGTATTTTGTATTTAATATCACTCAATAACAAACAACTTTTTGAACTTATACAAATACCCGACCTTGGTTGACTCAAGTGGGGATTTCAAATCTGAAAATAGTTTCGCTTCTAAAGAAATAGATTTTTTAAACGACATTTTCAGTTTATTTTTTGTCGAAATGTACAATTTAAACACAATATACATAAGAGGGGATTATGTAAAGGGGATTACGTGTTGTGATGCACTTCTTCAGGAGTTAAGGCACATCATCAAGCAGGGTTCCCACTCAAACTCAAGGTAAATTTCAATAAAAATTGAGACCATATTTTCATCAGGAAACTTTGATTCCTTTATTTGCAAAGAGAAATATTAGATTTTCTGTGTAAAATAATATTAAATGAGGAAAGGAACATTTCTATTTGACTAAAATGAGAACCTCTAACAACAAATAATTGTAATAGATATTAGAATTATTTAACTCGAATCACAATAACTGATTACTGTTACTGACAATTTTAAGACTGGTTACTTTCCAGGTATGATAGAGGAACATTCCAGGTCTTTGTAAAAAAATTGCATCTTTCCCTGATTATTCCCTGTTTACCCTGACCCGTGGGAACCCTGTCAAGATTAAAATTCTTTGGTCTCCATGTCTAGAAATGTAGTCTTACAGGATCAGGAGCACTTCCCTATTATGACCTGTTCCAAAGCACACAAAATACACACAGTTCATAATAGGGAAAGTGCCCCTAAAGGCTTATGACGACATTTCTGAGAATAGGCTCTGATGCAATTTTAATTCTGACGATGTGCCAGAACTTGCAGAGAAATTTGCAGCAACATTTAAGTGATCCCCTGTTATACATATAACATTTTTAAACTTGTACATTTCAATAAAAAAATGTTAATTAAAAATCAAAATGTAGCTCAGAGAGAGAAACATATTGCAGTTTGAAATCAGTGAAATGAAAGAATCTGAGAACTGTTAAAAAAATTTCAAGCACGTGAAAACAAAACAACTCATTCCCCAGTGTTATCAATTAGGTGAGACACACAAAACATGTTCCACATTGCGAGTAGTGCTTCAGTTAGTTTCTATACTATAGAAAATGATTATCATTGATAAGTTTTGATTTCCCTGATTTTAATTTTTTGATGGAAGCTGCTTTTCTGTTTTTAAATATTTGATATTCAATTCTGTCGTTTTTTCAGTAATGATCATAAGATTTTGATAGTGTTTTTCTTTGCTACATCCAGAAGATCTAAAGATGTATGGAGTACCTTTTCCATCAAAAAATTAATGCGTGTTATGCAAATGAATGGCCACCCTTTAATTAATTAAGTTATAAAGTAAGTCCACTTTAAAAAATACTATATAAGTATATATATAACTTTATAATTATATAGTTATATTTATATAGTATATATATATTATAGTTCAAAAAAGATTGTTTATAAAAAAAATTTCTCAGAAAGTGTATTGCATGATGATGAAAAAAAGATTATCCATATTAAAATAATATTATATGTTTACAGTTCACTCAATAATATGTAAGTAAACTAAAAAAATATGAGTATTTTCAAAATATCACTTAACATGTTTTCAACTTAGCACTAAAATAACTTTGCTTACCTGTATTGTTGCAGCGATTTCGGCACCAAATCCTCCAGTAAGAGGAGCTTCATGAGAAATGAGTACACGTCCAGTTTTATTTACAGACTGTAAAAGATTTTTTTAAAAAAATGCATAAATAAAGAACTTGAGGATACATTATTTTTAAGGATTTAAATTTTCAAAAAATACAAATAACAAATTAAATCAGCAGCAGAAAATGAAAAATTTATGATTTAAGTCTAATTTTTATGAACACAAAGTGTTTTATGAGTGTTATACGAACACAAAGTGTCACATCATTAATGTTTTTGATATTAAATTTTTTATTAAGTTTGATTTTTTCCTCTTAATTTGCAAATTAAAAAAGTATAACTATGATGGATAGAATAAGATTATCTATAATATTAATATTAATAAAGAATTAAAATAAAAAAAAACAACATAAAATTGGATAAATCTTGCAGTTATTTATTAGAAACTTCAAAAATAGTATGCAAAAATACTCTTCTTGGAATCATTACTTATATCATTTTAAATCAAATGAAGTAGGAAAAAAAAAAAAGGAAATTGAAACTGAAAGCATTTTAAGAACCCCAATTTCTCACAAAGTGTAAAAAAAAAAAAAAAAAAAGATAGAAGAATTAATTTTATAGAACAACTAAATTAAAAGATGTTTTAGTTAGAAGCATAATTAAAATGAAAAGAATAAAATATGTTAACTTAACATACAATCAATATATAAAATATATTTTGTAAATCCAAACTTCTTCCATGGCTATCAGCAATCCGACAGAATTTATCTTTCCAGTCCAAAGGAGAATAAAAAATATTGATGCTCTTCAGTAGTATTCATTCTCTTTAGAATTTATGGGCATAACATATTTCATACATAAATAAAACATAGGCACCCATTCATCATGAAATTCTGTTGGTTAAAGAACTAAAGTTGCAATTTGTTGAAGAAGTATTGGCTAGATAACCTTGAATTCAGATTTAATAAGCTACCGGATTTAACAAGCATTTTTGTATTTAACGAGTCTCCATTATATACCGATCCTACTGTATATTTAAAAGTCTAAGTATACATATTTTTAAATGGCAGCAAGATATCTAACTTATTTTTTAACAATCAAATGAAAGTACAATTTATACTTTTTAATATAAAATGTCATGTATTTCAATTTCAAATAAGAATGTTGCTAACGTAAACTTACATTGATAACAGTTTTTTTATCCCAAGGAACTATAGTAGTCAGATCTATTAATTCACAGGAAATATTCAATTTATCTTCTGCTAACTGGCACACTTCTCTTAAAACATGAACCTGTGTACCCCAACCAATGACAGTAACATCATCACCTGAAAAGATTTTTAATAATCACACTAATTAACAACAACCAAAACATATTCAACATGAAGATACAAAATACGTTACAGAGCCTTGGACAGAGTTCAAAAATATAAATAAATAAATAAAAATAATTGAAATACCCTGAATAAGTTCTGATTGATGATTGGATTGTCATGTACAAGGACTCAATCTAAATCGTTCGAAGGGGTGACATCAAACATGGTAAGTAATCAGTGCAGACAATATTTTAAGCTGTGACCCTCAAAATATAGGGGTAGCAGCAATCTGGGAAATACTGAGCCAATAGTTTTGTCAAAAGAATGGTTGAAATTGTAGTTTTAATTTCTGCATATCTCGTGTACGTTTTAAAAGAATTGAAGAATAATTAATTCCATGCAAAAAAAGTTTATAATAATTATTAATCATTTTTTTAAAATTTAATTTAATAATGTTTGAAAAAATTGTAAAATGTAAAGGTAAACAATTTTTTCATGTAATTTTAAAGAATGTAATTTCGTACTAAATTTGTACAAAATCAGTCAAATAGCTTCTAAGAAATCGAATTTTAAAGAAGTTGTACATTTATAACATTGTTTTCAGGGACTACTTGACGGATTTAATTAAAATTTTGTATTTTGCCTCATCAAATTACATTCTTTAAAATGACATCAAAATTTGCGTACATTACATTTTGAAATTTTTTGACACACTAGATTTCGATTTTCTCACTTAAATAATCATTTATGCCTTTTTAAAATATAAGTTTCAATTACTTCTCTTTTGAAGAAAGATCTAGAAATATTCACTAAACTGAAAACTCATTGTTAGTTACAAGTTAGTACAACAACAATATAGAATGTTATATATTTTATGTTTAGGCGTAAAAATAAATCAAATTTAGTAACCCAGCTCTCTTCTTATAAATTTTAACAGCTAGAGCCTCCTGTGTTGTGGCTTATGGCTTAATAATCAAGGGAAATTGAATGAATAAAGATGAACAGATTAATCACCTTCATACTCTTGAATCTTGTTTTGTATATTCACAGGACATTTACATTTTACTCAGTCAAATGTCAATACAAGATAATTTTCTTATAAAACACTTTACTTTACATGCAAAATATATGCTTAATATGTTTCACTAGATTCCAAGTATATAAAAATTTAAGGGAAAAAAAATAGAATTGGAGAAAAGGATAAACTTTCACACATTTATTTTTTATGAATGTACACCACTTTAAATACTAAAAATGATAAAAATACCTTCAACAAGCACTTCAGCTGTGGATAATGGCAATTCATAGTCTTTCAAAGGAACTTGTTCCACCGCCATTCTATAAAGTATTTTGGGTTCAAAGAAAATGCATGGATTTTTATCCCTTATACAGCTTAACAACAGTCCTTTTGCTTGAATGGGACCCCTGGGTACGACTACCTGTTTAAGAAAAGAACAATATTTACAGGTTTATAAATAATGTTTAAGAGCAATAATAGAAATTATATATACATGAGTTATTTTCTTTCAACTGGTCTAAATGGAAAAGATTGTTAAGGCAAGAAAGGGGAAAAAAAGGGAACATTATTGAGTGCAACAGGAAAAACATTGTTTAAAAATTTAACTGCCAAGTTACCTACACTAATTTGTGAAAAAAAATCTAGCAGGTGTATCAATTTGTTTCACTGAAAAGCAGGGTTCAGCTATGAACAAAATTTGAAAAGGAAGATTAAGGATTTCAATGAAACGAGAACAAGTCATATTTATTTTTAAACAAAAAAAGAATGCAAAAAAAAAGTTTAAGATTAAATATATGCTGACTTATTTGGGTGATGTGTCTTGCTACGTTCTATATATTTAATCATAACATAGTTTTTCTTCCAGCATCATTCAAACGAATACTCGGTTGGACGGAGGCTATTTGAGGGGGGTTTTACTGCATGCAAGATAAAAATATTGAAACTTGTAACAGTAAGTCAATCAGCCAAAATTTGGATGTGTAAAATTTTACTTAAAATTTGGGGGTACAGTTTACTTAGCTTTTTGCGTACATCTCTTTGGGTATTTGCAATGTGATTCGTCAGGGAAGCAGAGCCGTTACATCATACTTCATAAGCAAATTATTAGCACAAATGTTAGGTAAATTAGACAGTAAGATAAATACGGATGTGTGTAATAGGCAGAAATGTTTTGCTCGTCAACCGGCCACTACTAATAGATGCACTGCTGAAAAGATGGAATCATGAACTTCATTTGTCATGCTTCCTTCTCGCTTGTATGATTTAAAGCTGCGGCATTCATATCCTAGAGTTGATGATTGCTAAGAATCAGCCTTGAATCTTCTTCCCGGTAACTTGTGAATGGACTTGTAGGTGGAAAGTTTAAGTATTAGAACTTCTTTGAACTGCTAGTTATTGAGCAGTTGTGCTTCTTCTCAATGTCCTCTTCTGTGTGTTGCTGTCAATGGTAGCTGATGAACATGTGTGTTTTATATACAACAAACTGTTCTTCTCATATAAACCTATAGTAGTTGAGTTAAGCTTCTTTTACAATAAACTGTACTTCCCATATATGCCTATGGTAGCTGTTGAGCAGTTGCGCTTTTTCTACAACAAACTGTTCTTCCTGCATGTGTCAATAGTAGTTGGTGAGCAGTTGTGCTACTTCTATAATAAATTGCTCTGCCTGTTGGTGTCCATAGAAGCTGGTATACAGCTATTATGTTTTATATAAAACAAACTATTCTACATGAATGTGCCTTTAGTAGAAGGTAAGCAGCTGAGTTTTTCTATATCAAATTCTGGTCCTTAATTCTATTAGCACATTGTGGATATTGAACTTATAACGAAGTTTTGTTTATTTTTCAAACTCCGGGTCTTTCTCATGTATAGTGCATGACAAACCATACAAAATAAAATGTTGCAATTAAAAATTTCATGAACAAGTATTGAAAACATATAAAAGTGCTAATCTTTTAAATGGAAACAGCTTGAAGTATAATTTGTATCAACCCACTGACGGTTCTACATGTAAAAAGTTGTATTTTAACCTGCAGTTTTCACCGCATAGCAAAACCGGTTTTTCTATGTTATTAGATAAGGATATAGTGTATTAGGAAGAAACATTCTTCCAATCTTGCCCTTTTGCTAAACCGCCAGTGAGTTAAATAGGAAAAGCTGATTATTTCTAACATATAAGTTAAAATTGCCATCTTGAAATTCCTCATTAGATCTTCAGTCATGTTATTGTATGAAAAAAAATGATAGAGAAAGAGATAAAAAAGATCGTAAAAAACACACATCTATGTTTTTAAAAAACACACACACATTTTCTAGGTAAAACATACAATTAGATATTTATTGAATTTACTCAAAGTTAGCACTTCTTTATTTTTTTATACTTAAAAATATTTAACTTAACTAGCAAACTTTTGTATATTTAACTGGCTGACCTGCACTCTTGATAACATAAGATCAATAATGACTTGGCAGATACAAATGCGGGTAGATTTCAAGAGAGAAAAACCTAAAGGATTAGAAAAAACCAGACTCTAAGCCAAGGATCGTGGGCATGAAGAAATAGGTTGGAAACATTAAAAGCCAAATAGTGTGAAGAGCCGAAGTAAGTATTCCAGAGAGGTGGGCAATCAGCGTGAAAAAAAATCCAGGGGTTTTTCTGTGTGCAAGAAGATAAAGAGTTTTTTTTACATGCATGACCATTTGGGAAGATAAAAAAATTACGATTTTCTATATGCAGAATTATGGCTGGATCGAAGAGGTAAAAATATATTTTTAGACCACTTTCAAAACAAGCACAATAAGTAAAAAAAAAAAAAGACTTTTGTGTATTTAAGTACTAATGTATAAAAATGAACTATACACTAATACACCTATGACATAAAATAAGTTTAAAATATTTAATAGATAACATTGTAGAACCAATATATTCATTAACATTTTTAAAAAATCACATTAAAAATAGTATTTGTCACAATAATCTGAATACTAATCATAAATAATTAAAATAAAAATTTTCATTAAATGAAGAGATTTTCAATTGAAATAAATTATCAAATTCATTCACTAATATTATTTGGAAGAAGAAGAAAAAAACATTAAAATAGAAGTCAAAGTAAGCTTATTTCCATGTGACTGATAGAAAACACAGGTAAATATATTTACTTTTAAACCAGGAACATGAGAAAAGAATGATTCAGGGCATTGAGAATGATACATAGCACCATGACCAACAGCTCCCCAAGGTGCTCTCACAGTTAATCCACCACAATTAAAGTCATTCCCTGAACGAAATCTTAATTTTGCAGCTTCATTTACTATCTATAAGCAGAGAAAAAAATTAGTTTGCAAGAACAAAAAGAAAAAAAGATCTTATTACTAGAATTTAAAAAAAATCACATTTCGTATAAAGACTTGTGCACTCTTTGTTGCAATGGTGGGACAGAGTCCTCATGCTACTAAAAGAAACTAACAGACAATAAATTTCTTTTCGTTCCTGTTGGGAGAAATGTTTTAAATAAACAATAAACCCTGTCTGCTAAAACAACAGAATTTTTCAATTACCAGCAAAGTATATGCACTGGAATGTGACATAAAAAAAATTTCATAATTTCAAGTTGAGATTAATAAAAGTAGATTGCAATAGAATCAATTAAAATACAAAAGAGATTTTAAAAAAATAGCCTTTAAACTCCACATTATGAAAAAATTTTCCCAATACCTTTGAAACATAAAACATTAAAACAAAAGAATTAAAAATAAAAAAAAAGGGGGAAATGATTTTTCTTCTTTTAAAATGAAACAAACAAAAGGAATATGTTTTCCCAAAGAGAAAGAAAATAAAGAATCATCAATAATATACAGGGTGTGTAGCCAAATCTTTCAACAAAAAATAAGCACATTTTAACTACCTTCTAAGCACTGAAAAAATATTTTTAAGCACTATATACATTAACAAAATGCAAAATAATTTTCAAAGACTTTACATGATCATGATAAAATAACTAGTTTCCGACAAAAAACTCTCTCCTTGATTATATTAGCAGTTATAAAATGATCGAGAGATTTTCAGTTCGATATCAAAAGGTGGAAAATGAAGTCTGAAATTGGGAATATCATGCAAAATGCAGCAGAGTTGCACATGAGAGTGCTAGAATCTCACAGAACTCAGTTCAGTAGATGCATATACTGACTCGCAAGTATTTTATCAAACATGAAAAATGACTGACACTTTCATACACTATGGACTGACAGTACACTGAAATTAATTGCGAAAACATTGAATAGAACAATGTGAAAAGCACACTTTTGCATAATATGTGGCAAAAATCGACATGGTAATGAAAAAAAAACATCTCATTTTTGAAAAGGGAAAATTAAGCACTTTTTAAGAACACCCAATGAAAAAAGCATTGGGTGTTCAATAACGAAATTTGAAATAATGAAAATTGAAAATAAGCACCTTTAAGCACTTTTAAAAAAAGCTACACACCATGACATATATATATACACACACACAAAAGAAGTTAGTTACTTACCTGATCAAAGGCAGGATATATGTAGTCAGCAAACTGAATTTCAGCTATAGCAGTTGCTCCTCCAATAGCTACACCAATTCCAAATCCCACAATACCTTGTTCACAAAGTGGAGTGTTAAAAACTCTATCTCTACCTATGAAGAAAATATTATTTTAGCTTTAAATAAAAAATTATAACAGAAACTTAAAAGTTACATTATTTTTACATTCTTTTAAAGAAATTTCTATTATAAGTAAAAAAACTTCTTAATCTGATAAAAATGAATAAGATAAAACATTTGTTATTTGTTTTGATAAAAGATATAGTATGGATAAAAGAGTTAAGCATTTTATTGCAAACTCTGATTTAAGAAAATACTTAGATGTAGCAATTAAATTTCTGAAAATTAGTTTATTTTATGTTAACTTGGAAGAATGTGTGCAAGATCTGTTAAGATCTTATAAAATTTGAAAATGAAATTATTCTCATGCTAATGTTGACATACGCTTCTTTTTGCATTCAAGTTATGAACTCTCAACACCTAAAAAAGTGTTCAAAATTTCTTACGGTCATTATTTCTTTAACAACAAAGAAGTTGCCATGTTTGGAGGTATAGCTAGATTCCATGCTTCTTATTGTGACAGTTCACTAACTGTAGTTAGCATCAATAAAAAAAGGTCACTATGCTTTCTCCCGTACATGATTGACAAATAAACAGGGGAATTTGAATAAACTGGAAAACACAACGTTCTCTATTCCTAACTATTTCACTACGCCAGGTAAATACAGATGGCCAATGGTGATATTTTATTCAATTCATTGAGGCCATAAATGCCTCACTCAACACTGAGGCCATAAATGCAAGGGTAATTTTGCTATTTGACACATTCATCTGCCCCAGAACAAGAATAGGTAATTATATTTTCATTTTATTTTGTAACCAGCATTGAACAACTGACCTAATTCTGAATTTATGTCTTTCAATGTTCAGCTAAATGTAAATTAAATTTCAATGTAAATTTGAACCCAACCCAGAAGAAAAGGAAACTGTTAGATCAAGCATTAGGAGCAACTAACCTTCATTGAGGATTGCTTGATGGAATTAACCTATATTTGCATTACAAGGAGAGGAAAACCTTCAATAGCTACCCTGAAGGAAAAAGGAGTCCAACTCATGATCCATATACCACTGAGGATATTTTTAGGTCAGAACGAGCCAGAATTAGAATTTGTATCAACCAGCCACCGCCAGTACTTGATCCTGGTTCACCTCATTAGGACATAGCATATCCCCACAAGCATGTTTCTCTTCAAAGGCATACACCTTCTCAAATTAAAAAGTTCAAATGATTAACTTAGAGAACATAGTTTTGATTTAAGGAGAATATTCTAAAAAAAAGCCTCTTAATTTTTTTTATGCAGCAAAAAAATATGTTTGCCACTGTTCTCGAAGAATTACATCCTTAGCAATAAGTTCATAAAATTCCTTTAAAAATTAAGAGTAGATCTGAAATGAAAAAATACAACGTTGGAAAATTTAATTGAACATATATTCACCTGAGAGTGACACAAAATAAAAGGGCAATAAAAAAGAAACAAAAAAAAGAAGAAAGAAAAGAGAAAGATCACAAGTTACTATGGGGTAGTCAAACCTGTACTTTTCTTGCTTATATGAAAAAAAATTACAACTACTTTCACAGCTAACATTGTATATATTTTTTATTGTTTAGAATTATATATTTGAGACTAGCAGTGTATTTAAATAACTAATTTTGCTAATAGTTATGCATATAGCTCCCTATTTTAATTTACAGCATTTTATTACAGCCTGTAATTTCACAAGTATTATAAGAATTTGATACATTTTTTTAGAAATTGCTTTGTAGACAGAAATTTTTTTATTTGATTACAAATAAACTATACAAAATCAAAATTAAGAGTTTAAAAGTAAACAAATTGAAAAAAAAAATGCACTCTATTCTTACCATGTTTATCCTGTAAACCCACTGTGCACCGAAATACACCACCAAAAGCAACATCTTCACCAAACACAACTGCAAATGAAAAAGGTAAATTATTGAGTAGGTAAGTTTACTAACAGAATTCTATATATATATTACGAGTAGAGGACACAAAGCCATATTTTCTTTTAAATTTACTTATAGTTTTTGAATTAAACTTACTGAGGTTTTTAATATTTCTTTAATTTTACTAATTTTTAATAAAAAAATTATGGTTTGAACCTAGTTAGTATTAGCCAAACTATTTTTAATGTGAAAGATCTTAATCCAGATTTACTACTATTTTTTAAATTTTTAGTCATAAACATTTATGTAGATTTGTGATGCCATTATAGGCATTACATATTTCCTAGCTTTTAAAATTCCTTTAATTTCGTAAATTAGTTTTTTTAATAATTCCTATTTGAATTTTAATTAAATTAAACCAATTATTTAATTTTTATTACTAATATAAATATTTCATTTTCTTCTTAACAATCAATGTAACGGCTAATTTTTTAATACAATACAAATGTAAAACTCATTAATTCACTGCCGCAACTAAGTCGAACATCAAAATCTATTTTTAACTCTTTATTTCTGACCACAAAAATATTTTGGTTACATTGTTATACTAATTCTCCCAGTTTTTTAGCGATTAGCCATAGCCAAATCATTTTCAAACTTAAAATTGATTGGTTTTGGTTATTTTATTTTTCAATATATCACTAAACATGAATCTCTTCCCATGCTCTTAGTTGTCTGTTAAGATCAAGTCAATTACTATTTAATTTGGCTTTTGATTATGCTGGGTATGGGAAAATTATCTCTTATGGCCTGTCCTTATTGATATTATTATGCAAAATTTATTATTTCACTTAGAAAATCTTATGGATAAAATATGCTTTTAATTTTGTATCTCGAGTTCTACAAATAACACTGAATAAAAGTTTTATAATAATTATGATCCAGTTTTCATCAACTGCCAATTTCCTTATCCTGTTTTTATCACAATTTTTAATTAGTTAATTATACCATACAATTCCAACTGCACCAAATTTTGATATTATAGGATTTTTAATTGTTTCAGTATCTGCAAAAGGAATGAGCATTATCCTTAAAGAAAACAACAACTTCCAGGGAATCATGAAGGGAAAATTCCCATAGTTTAACTTTCATTAACATTTTACAGATTAAAAACTTTACACATTATTTCTCTGGCAGTGCTGTGTGTAAGCAGGTTTATACTTTTGATGACCAACATCTGATTCTGTTTCAATAATTATTCTACTTTTTTTTCCATTAAATTGTTATATGTTATATTAATTATTGTCTTTTTTTCACTCTTGCCCCACATATTACTATATCTATTAGGTTGATAGGTAAGCAAGAGTTACTCAGCTCATAAATGAATAAAAAAAACCTGTTTCCAACATTTTTTAAAAGAGTAGTTTACAAAAAATTAAACATCAATTTTCTTTTACTGGAAAAAAATTTAAATTTCAATAACCCAAAATTTTCATTATTTATAAAAGATGGAAAGTTTTCCATACTGGTAAGTGCACTAAATATAATGCCAAATATTAGCAACAACCAGGATATAGACAAGAGAAACTAAAATAATAAAAAAAATCACAAAATAGCTCAAACTGGAAGAGTATAATTTCTAACATGCTAAAGCATGCCTCCCAGGCATGCCACAGCATTAAGCATCATTTTTTAATTTTTTGTAAATTCAAAAACCCTTTGGTGCCTTAACGATTGTAACATGTGCGGAAAGGGCAGGATGAACAAGGTTACAAAAATTTGTCAAAGAAATATAGCAGTAATAATGTCAAAAATTTATATTGAAAATTAAATCAGTAAAGAATAAATAAAATAAGTATGTGCAAAAAGTTATTGTGAAATTACCTGCAGTAGGATCAGCTGCAAGTGCTATGTCTAGGGCATTTGTTATAGCCTGGAACATGTTCATACGAGCAGTTTCTCCTTAAAGAAAATAATAAGTTAATGAAAGCTTTATTAAAATATTCTATGTAATACATATAGATTCAAAGATAAAGATTTTTTAAACAAAATTTATATGAAGAAAAAATATTTCCTACTTTTATTTTTTACTAATAATTATAAAAACTCTTACTTCTTTTCAACTTATTTCTTATTTCTTTTCAATTCTAATAAAATGAATTACGTCCAAAAACTATTTCATGACTTTATTTGCAAACAAATTCAATATGAAACGTATCTGTATACGAACATAAACTTTTAACTCATTTTACTAATTATCAATATTAATAAAATAAATTTAAATGTCATAGAATATTCTTATTTACTTTCTCTTAATCTTTTAGTCTTTCAAAATTAAATGTAAAAGAATCTTCCTTTACTTCTTTCCACTAATTATTAATATATTCATCGTCATTGTTGGCACAATAGCTCAGAATAGGCCTTTGCCTTTTTTAGAAGATTTTTCTAGTCCACTCTTTTGCAAGCAACTGCACTCCAGTTCTCTACTTTAATAACAGGAAGGTCTTATTCTAAATAATCTGTGCATCATTTTAATTTTTTTGTTTTCCTCTTGGGTCTATTATTATAGAGTAATATTAAATACTTTCATGGTAGTTCTGCGTGAGTCCATTCTTAGCAGTAAGCTTGCCTCTCTCATTCTGTTTAGTTTGATTGATTTTATGATGTCATTTTTATACAAGTATAACTCAAAGTTGTACCTTTTCTCCATACACTATTTTCATAAGTTCCAAGAAGATAGTTCTTAAGATTCCTCTTTCAAATATTGAGAGAGCATTTTAATCTTTTGTTATAAGAGTTTATGTTTCTGAAGGATATGCTAAAATTGATTTTCTAAAAGTGTTTTAAAAAGTAACGCTTTAGTTTTTGTTTTTTTGATTAAGTTGGATTTTAAAAAGGGGAAGATTTGAAGTAGCAAAATCATCGATGAGAAACTAAAAAGAACATCATAGGAAACCAACTCAAAGGGAATATCTATTACGCAGAAAAGGGAAAACCATATTTATTAAAACTCTACATGTTTTTTTTAAAAAAAATTGCAAGTTTAAAATTCATTTGCCACCTTGACAATTGCAGTTGATATGGACGTGTCAGATCATAATATAGAAATATCCACTAAAGAGACTTTTGAGCCAATAAGAGCAATGGTTAGCTGTCAAAATTTCTTTCTTAATTCCACATTAAATTTATTTTGGCAATTAATTCCAGATAAGTTAAAAATTATTAATATTAAAAAATTAAATTAAAATGTATAAGAATATTCCTTGACCATATCTCTTCAAAATGTTTACACTCTTTCAAATTTTTCTACTTTTACAAATGAAATATAAAAGAATATTCATTTACTCTTTTGCTTTCTCTTATTCTTTCAAAATCAAATCTAAGATAATATTCCTTACTTTATCTACTAATTGTTAGCATTAATCATATAAATAAAGATGTAATAGGGGGATTTTCTTAATTCTAATTATTAGCATTACTTAAATAAATAAATATTTTATAGACTATATGCTTTCACTATTTCGCTTTGAAACTTTTAATCCTTCATAATTAAATGAAAAAGAATTTTCTACGAATTCTCAGTATTAGTATAATTAAAGCTAATTAATACACACAAAGAGCACAAATAATTATCTCTTTACGATCAGTAAATAATTAAAACCTAATAAAAATAATACCATCTGATGCTGATACGGTATCGGGTACATAAGTAAAATGTGAATATCTCGTAGATACAATACAAGGTAAAGACCTTTTATATGGAAAACTACGTTTTAAAGGAAGGAATTTATTAGAAATTAAAGAACGAGCGAAATTAAATGCCATGATTGATATGAAAAACAGCAAATTAAAGTTTACGAATCCATGCCCAGTTTATTTACGTTTTACGTGATTTGTTATTTATTATTTTATTTTACAATTTGAAAGTAGAAGTTGAAGTCTTTAGTTTTGCAATTTACTGGCATCAAATTGGCATTTCATATAAGAACTTATTTTAAGATATTATCGACTAAAAATGATCTCTTTTGAACCCCTCAAAATATTATTTTAGCTATTAGTTATTATTTGCGTATATTTTTCGGTACATATTTTATCTTGTTAAAATTTTTTATTGATTGGCAATCAGCAAGTATTTTTGTGATTGTTGTTGATATTTTAATCTGGTTCTTGTTCGCCGCATTTTGATCATTTACGTCATTTACATAAGATACTTTAATATTAAGTCTGATTTATTTCTAAGGAAAGTTTACCTAAAATAAATCTTATGAAAGTTATAGGTGTTTAAGGAAACAAACAATAAATTTTACCAGGCAATTTTGTATCTACTGTTTTCGCTTTTAAAGTAAGTTCTTCACTGTGAAATCAAAAAATGTATATTTTTTTTGTCTTCTCTGTAAAATTATATGTTAATTAGAACCTTTCTAAGTCCTATATAAATTGTATAGCTAATCTTGTGTGTCTTATATATTTTAGAATTTGAATAATTTTTATTCTGATAGAAATGAGTGACAAAAATCTACCTACTGCTAATCAGCAAGCTTTGTTGGAACAGTATTTAATTTTAGCAAAATCTGCTAAAGGAGCTGCTGCTGTTGAATTGATAAAACAAGTTTTAGTTGCTCCTGGTATTTATGTATTTGGAGAATTATTAGACATGCCAAATATTCAAGAAGTAAGCCTGTTTTTAATTGTTTTAAAAATGTTGTTTTTGGAAGCTATCCAAAACATGTATTTATTTTTTATTTTCTCATTTCTGTTTGATTCGCTTGCTTTTTCCTCAAAAGGGGATATTTCTGTATCGTAATCTGTTGCTCCAACTACAATCGCCAAGCTGCCAAATATATTTTAAACTTGCAAATATTTTAAAAAAAAAAAACTGTGTTTGCCTGGGGTGTGGCTATGAGTTATACCTTTCGAGTCAGTCCTTTTCTGTCCTCACGGGCCACTGCCTGGAAGTTGCCAAGACTTGGCTATTATTTTAGCAAAGACCACGATACGGAAACCTCTCCTTAATTTATGTATTAACGTGTTCTCAATATTTTTAATTACATGCTCCGTTTATTTTCGAATGTAAGTCAAGAATTTAGAAAAATAAAGTTAGGGTGCCTGTTTATAATAGGATTCACCAACTTTAAATAATTATAGGAGGATATCGCCAAAAGAAATGCTTCTCGTTTGTTTGAGCATTTAGCGATAATCAGTAAATATCACAAAACGTTTGAACAAATCATAAAAGTACATTAAATAGTTGAAAACAAAATACTTAAATATAAAGGTTGAAAAAAATGCATAAAAAAGATGATCTGATAGGAATATTATTACTTTTCAAAGCTTCTTGTTACAAATTCGGAAAGTCCATGCTTCTTTATCCATTGCGTAATCATTACTATTTCTATAAGAGAGAGGGGGTACATTTTTATTTCTAAGCTTAGCATGCTTTATTTTTTTACATCAGCTTATATATGAGTTTTGAATTTTGGGTGAATTTCCAAATAAAAAGAATATATGCCCATGGTAATAATCATTAAAAGATAAAAATTGTAAATAATTTAAAATAATTATTTCAAACGAATTTAATTATGTGATTCTGTTTCTCCCAGAGTCAAACTGATTTGAATGTAATTTCACTCTGTAGCCCAGGATATTATGGGGAGGGGGGGGGTTTGGACTCTATGTATATTTAAATTTGAAGCTTATTGAAAAAATTTAACACAATTTTAGAAATAATTTTTTGTAGTTTGTCTCATTCTTATAACTATGAATAAAATATTTTTATATACCTTCTTTTAATCTATCAGAAGAAGACTTTAAAAAGAGTCAATGTCAAAATTACTAAATAAACCGCTTTCCATTTAAATACAAAAGGATACTTGTGAAATTAAAGAACAAAACTAACACAAGTTACCCATTATTATTTTATTGATAATAAATATCATGGACTAACAAAGAATAATGTTATAATTTGTTGCAACGAGCTTCATTTACTAAGATAGGACTCTTTTCGCTAATTAGAAAAGGCAAGTTTAAAGTTTTTAAAAATTCACAGTAGTTACAGTATTTAGCTTGTTAAAGAAAACTTAACATTTTTATAAATTTTGTAAATCAAGTTACTTAATACGATAGTTATAGTATTTTAACATTTCTGTGATATCAGAAATAGTTTGTTTTTTTGGGCCCCTTATTCAAATGCCCTTCTATGCCCCACATATTAGGAGTAGCATATAACCCCAAATATTAGGTTCTTCTTGTTAAATATAAAATATTTTCTATTGCAAATCGATTACATCTCTATAAAAATTTATTTTTAGAAAAAGCACTTGAGTACCAATAGCAATAATTTTTTTTAGAAATTCCATAATACAGTGCAGAACCTCTTATCCGGAAATCAGAAAACCGGAAAACCATATAACCGGAATGAAATTCGGAACCGGAAATTAATTTTCTTCCATTAAAAAAAATTTTTTTTCCTGCAAGATTTTGAGCCCATTTTGTAATTTAGAGCGTACAGCGTATCGAGTTGACGAAAGAACTGATTTAGAGGACGGATCAAAAGCCGTTTGTAGACGAATCTCACATAAGCACAAATAGCTTACATATGTTATTAATGTTAATAATAACATTAATAACATATATAAGCCTGTATATAATTTTTATTTCATAATTTCTTTCCTTATTTAAACTTAAGTGTATTATTATTTATCATTTTTTATTATTTCTAAAACTGTTTCAAAATAATTTTTTAGTTTCGTTTTATAAACATTAAAAAAACGGCATTTTGTAGCGATTCAGAAAACCGGAAAAATCAGTTATCCGGAATCGCGAT